GGGGGGTGCGCATAGCTGTCTGTGCCTCTTTCGCATTATGCACACAAAGACAGCCGTGTCTTCGTGACCAATAGAAGTCTCTCATGCGTGAATTGTGTTTGCCGACAATCGCCAAATGTGCACTGTTCAGATGAGAAAACACTTGCTAGCCTTAAATGCTCCGTATTTTCGCATTACTCAGTTAGTGCAAAATTCAGTGCCTACGTCTTCTACGAACCGCGAAGCACAGGGAGTAATTATGCTTCAAGGTGTCGATTTTAGCCAATCAAATTAAAGTGACCTTGTACAGATACGACCTTGGGCCACACCTCCCTCAAAAGGTGTAATCACACTGCTGAGACTTATCATACAAGGATATGCTTTAGTACGCTTGCACCAATCAATTTCATCTCCTTTCGGGACGACGATGAGTGAAACGAGGTATCCAAGCCGCAAAGGCCTAATTATATGCGCTCAAGAGGTCATTTCAAGGACAACCGGCCGACAAGAAAAATTGTGCTAAAGGCACTTAAATCAACATGCAAGTAAAGAGCGAGGTAAACCTGAAGCAGTTCAGAAACCGGAAACAGATCATCTAAAGTCCACAAATGAAGCACTTTTAATGATAATGTGATAATGTGCAAAAAGGGGTACTTAATCACGTCATTTTTGTCTGTCAATCCAACTTTGTCGCAAAGGAGTAGAGATCAGAACGAAAACTTATAGTACAATTCCACAAAGCCGGACAAAAAGATGCACTCCTCTGTGAGGAGTACACAAGTCCAGATCCCAAGGTGATACGTACTCATATCGAGGCCCATGAGGGCGGAATGACACGCTACAGAGCGTCCTCATACCGGTACGACGAACGCGAAACGCTCACAGCCCCACCCACACCCACACACCTTCAGAGAGTCCGACTTGGAGCAGTGCAGAATTCCATCGCCCAGCCAAAGTGACCTGAAAAGGGCGGAACTTATCGGAACAATTGTCACAAAACTGCTGCCAACAAAAAATTGTAGATCAACAGAGCAACTTCAAAAACGACTTCCTTTTATTAGTAATAGTAATAATATAGAGATGCATATTGGCAGTTTTTCGGGGTTTGTTTTAGTGGTAATAGTAGTAGTAGTAGTGGTGGGACGTGGGACTGGAAGAGGGATGGTGGGTGAAGTTGTAGAGGTAATTAACAAAAAAACTTCCAAATTATACACACACGCAAACACGTCATCACCACCGCCTGGGGAATTTCAATAATGATGATGTTGATGATGGTGATGATTATGGTGACGGTGGTGGTGACAGAGGTGATGATAGGGATTGGTGATAACGACGCCGGTGGCGGTGACGGTGGCACACACCCTTCGCCATCGTTTGGGAGACGATGAAACAAACGCAAGCAGGTACACACGCATACACACACGCACAAATACACAATGGGGGAAGGAGGATTTACACAGAAGGGAACTTGTTTT